CCTGATTCTGAAGTCTCTCAAGGCCGATGTTGACACGAGGCGGATTAAGGCCTTTGCGAAGAGAATGTTGCAGATTCTCAACTTGCACCAGCCTGCTTTCGTCTGTGGCTTGATATACGTGGTGTTCCAATTGCGGACTCAGTTCCCCGACCTCAGAGCACTCCTTGAAGAACCAGAGGATAACGACACAGAAGAGGCGACTAGCCAGCCCTCGGCAGAGGATCAGAATATATCTGTTTCTAGAGGAAGTGTGTACGATGGCCGCAAAAGAAACCCAGAACATAGCAATGCTCAGAACAGCTGTCTCTGGGAAATTGTAAGCTTGTACCTGTGTTTGAGTTCACGAGACTCCTTTGCTAATGAATGCAGATACCACCCCTCACTCACTTCCACCCGTCCGTGTCTCTACTAGCCGCAAGTCTGTTCTCGAATGAGAAGCAGATGGCCAAACCCGACCTGGAGAGCCATAGCTTGATCAGATTCCTCGACAAGTTTGTGTACCGCAGCCCGAAGGCGGCAGAGACTGCTAGGGGAGCATCTATTATGCAGCCGGTCCGCAATCCTGATTCTGGCAGTATCTGGCTCGCGAAGAGAACTGGCTCAGGTGCAGCTGCGCCAATTAATACGCCTAAGTTCTGGAACAAGAAGGTAGACCAGGTCGCAGCGGAGGATATCTTCTTCCACGAATACTTCAAGCAAGCGGGCAAGAAGGTCGAGGGTGGTAAGAAGATCACTGAACAATCGTCATCTGGACTAGATGAGGTCAGTGCCGAGGACGACGCCGAACAAGAGGATGAGATTTGGAAGGCCTTAACTGCCTCGCATCCCGATGGTCCAATCGAGAGTGACGATGACGACCTTGACATGGATGGATTCGACGACAGCGATGACGAGTCCGAGGGTGGCGTTATCTTCTCTGACGGCTCCGACGCCGAACTTTCGGATGGCGACGAAGATGACGGAGACGACGAAGATGCTGGCGAGCTCCATGGCGAGGAAGGAGACGACGATGAGGCGATGGAGGATGAGGGTGGCCCCGAGCTGTCTGCAGTACCTGGAGAGGCCGAGGAAACCAGCCAGAAGAGCAAGAGCGCCGCCCGATCATCCAGGAGGAAACTCAAGGACTTGCCCATGTTTGCGTCGGCAGATGATTATGCCGAACTCTTGGCGGCAGAGGAGGAGGACATGTAATCGGACCAAGAAATTCTCAAGAGATATCATATTGTATGTCTGGGTTAGAAAAGCCCATGAGATGAGAACTCCTGATCAACTCGCTCCCGGCCCATCCCATATCTACCTATGTGTCAAACCACTCAAGGTCGTCATCTTTAGTGAATATGGCTCTATACGTCTTGTCCCCATCCGAATGCTCAGTCTCTTCAGTGTGAATGCTGTGAAGTTTTGGCGGCTCAGCTCCGGGCACAAAGGCGCGGAAGTGAATGTAGGCAGGCCCCGACTCAGGTAGTGCTGGGATTCGGACCTTGCCAAAGAGGTGGATTCCGTAAGCCGAACTGGCAACTCTTACGGCCACAAAGTTGTCCGGGCCAAAAGCGGCTAGTTGGTGATCGTCGAGGTGTTGCTAGGATCTGTCTGAGCGGACGCGATGGCAAGGCGTGGCAAAATGATGGTTGACTTACAACAGCCTGAAAATACTCGGGCTCGTGCTCTGATGATGGAGTGTCAGTCCATGGCTTGTTTCCAGTGGAGAATGTGACTTACTTTGATGCTCACGTCGGATGTGGAGAAGCTCTTTTTTGAGATCGTGCGCGATCTCTTGGAATACCTTGATGGACTCTTCCTTAGGCGCGTGCACAGCGCCCAGATCTACGGTTTCTGCCGTGGCCTAGAATGGACGGAGTACGGCAATAGGTTAGCCGGTGTCAACATGACGGTAGGTCGATTGCATATTCGGCATGCGGAGGAAAATGAAAGGCAGTACCATTGCGTCTGTTGCTATATCTTTCTGCCGAATTCCTAGCAGCCGTTATGTGATGTTTGTTGTTAGATGGGACGAGTATGAGATGAAGTTGGTTGACAGTGAATGCCAGAACCAACTGGACGACTGCCTCGTGGACGGCGGTGTCTCATTAAAGTACCGGAAGGCCAAAGGTCAGATGAGGGGTATGTATCCATCTGTACCAGGCCTCCAGGCTCGTCACGTTGCTTGTGCCTGCATCCGTACTTTGTCATTCAAGTTTTGAGGTCTGGCCAGGACCCCTGGAGCCACACGGACCGATGCCGCATGAGAACCAACCACTGAGGTAAGGGCGAAGACTCCGTCCTGCCCGTCCTGAGTCTGATAGTTCTACTACGTAAGGAGAGAGATATGATGTCATGTGGCCGGGATCTTGTCTTGATCATACAATCACATTCAAGGACCCTATTGCGTAGAGTGTACAGGGGGCCGGGCGAGGCTACGACACCAGAAGTTACATGTATGTTATATCTGCAGCAAAGTATAGTTCCAAGTTCAGAATGGAGGAGTGTGCTGTTAAAATAAAGCATCAGACAAGCGCCAGGAGTGGAAACCATCCTACCCGTATTCGTAAGTCCAAGTGAAACCCCCATTGATGCATATTTTTGGCTAGGTATTTCTTCCGCCATTGTTCGCTTAATAAAGTCTCGTTTAGTGTCATGATGCTGTGCTACCTTATTGCCGGGATCAAGGTACCTCACCTGAACAGTTAAGCTACCCTACCTGTAGCCTCGGCATACGAGTGACAAACCGCGACAAAGGTCAATCTCGACCTTCTCCTATGCCTCACACATCAATCGTAAGCTTCAATCCTGTTGCTCGATTGACCAGCTGTATCCATGGCAACATCACCCTTTCTTCCGCTTCGGCGACTTCTTAAGCAGCCTGCAACATTGGCCTCCCCTAACGCGCCAATCTTGCAAACCTCCGCCCGTCGTCAGCAGGTTTGGCTCCGACGCTATCACCAAGGCATCAATGCAGGTAAGTTACTTTGCTTTGGGAAGCCCTTCAAGAACATTAGCCATTGAGCTCACACAGTTATTGTAGGCACAGCATCGCAACCGAAAAGCCCTTCCCGGTTTCGCAAAGCCATCAGCTTCGGCGCATTTGGACTGCTGTTTACGAGCCTGGGTTTCGCTGCAGCGGCGAGCCCCCTACTGCCCGGTCTGCTTGACGCGGCAAGACCCCGGTCTGATGAAGATACCCTGCAAGCCTACGTACCCGAAAACGACGAGGCCGCAGTGGTGAATGATTTCGTCAACAACCACCCTATTGCGGCCGAGATGCGCCGGAATCCCGACATGACTGAATCTCGGCCCCACATGAGACTCCCCGATGCGCTGCGGCGGCATAATCTCACTGGCGGCACGCTTCTTGGGCCGGGTCGAATCACAGTTCCCCCTGTATGCTGGACTGAAAAGGGAGGCAAGTCTCTTGTTTCAATCTCCCATCTGGGCACAGACATTTGTGGTCACCCTGGCATTGTGCATGGTGGATTGCTTGCTACAATGCTGGACGAGGGTCTGGCGCGATGCTGCTTTGGTGCTCTTCCACACAAAGTGGGCGTTACGGCCAAGCTTGAGATCAACTATAGAAAACCAGTGCACGCAGGCACGTACGTTGTTTTGCGGGCGCGTACAACAAGAGTAGAAGGGCGCAAGGCATGGGTTGAGGGCCAGCTGGAAACGCTCCCGGTGGATGGAGAAGAGCCTCTCGTCCTAGCGCAAGCCTCTGCGCTTTTTGTCTCCCCCAGATTTGCATCTGTAAGTGACTTTTTCTCTTACTGCTTGGATCATTGAGCCACAATACTGATATCCAAAAAAAGGTAATGGCGAAGCTGAATGCGACTTGAGACCTTTGCAAACGCAAACCAGAGCGCGACATTTCGATTCTACTTATACTGAAAATTTCAACAGTCGGATAGAATGCGCTGGGGCGATTAGAGAGAAGACACGGCACCGAATTCAGAAGGGTTTTGCGAGAGAGATCGATGCACTGAGCTGAAAGCGCATGCTCAACCCGATCCGACTTAGACTATTCGAGCCAGTAGCCCTTCCACACTCTGTGGAACGGATTCTGAATACAGGCCATGAGCCCTCCTGGATGGATTGATAGATGGCTCTCATGAGGGTGCGCGCAGAATAGCTCCCTCTCACGACTTGTAGCGTATGGCGAATACTACGCTATAGATAGCCCCGCGACCTGGCTTGAGCTGATAGATAACTTGCAAGTGAAAATTACGGCCGGCGAAGAGGGATATTGTCCAGCAGAACATTTAGTCAAGATTTCGAAATGCGCGACTCTAGTTGAGTACAGTTGTAATGTCATAGCCGTTCAAGGTGGCCCGGAGCGGTCCCTAGGTGAGGCGGAGGAGGTTTCGGCACCGACGTGAAGCGCGGCGCGGCATCCGGGAACGGAGCGGGAGTCGGCACTCGGTCAGTCGGAGGCAATACCTCCCAATGGGCAGGAACCAGCCAGATTACAGGCCTCTGACGTGCTGGTCCCGCCAAGCGATGATCCACCTCTAGCCGATCTGACGCCATCGCTCGGCGCAGACTCGCAGTGTTCCGGTAAGAAAGTACTCGCATCATGTTGCGGATTCTATTGATTTTTTTTTCTGCTGTATCCTAGGTCATTGGATTATTCCCTGCGGTATCCGTAAGGCACTGAATCTAGGTGCGGAGAAGGCCAAAGCTAGACAAAGTACCTCTCTCATGAGGCCACTGTCCATTTTGTAGTGTTAGGGAGTTTTGGGTACATCGCCTGATGCTGACTTCTCCGTGATCTTAGCTCGTGTGAAGTGAAAAACGATAGGGAAAAATGGAGGGGAGGAGGTGGGGTGAAAAGCAAGTTAGTACCCTCCCTACTCGGTCCGTTGTCGTGAGAGTCGTGTATGCGAGCGCATCTGCGTGTATATATGTATGAGTGATTGTTGCCGCTGCGCCTGATTTTAGTTCACACTTTCGTTCCTTCAACACCATTCTCCCCTTTAGTCCTTACCACCAGATACCCAATTGAATTCACAATGGCTACGTAAGTATGAGTCCGGAAATCTAGGCTTCCGTCATGACAGGACCAAAATTGCCCCTCCATGAATTTCCTTCTGCTATCCCACCGACCCCGCAGTCGTCGCACCTGCCTGCGGCGAATGCTCTGCAACTCTTCGCCTTCACGTCCGCAACTCGACAGCTGGCGGCATAACGAACAAATTGGCTGATTTTTGTCCTCCGATATCATAGCAACATTACATGGCATCCCTCACTCTCGCGCTCTGAGCGTAACCAGCTGCGCGGGCAGCGTGGTTTCACCCTCTGGCTCACAGGACTTTCCGCTTCTGGCAAGTCCACCGTAGCAACCGCTCTGGAACAGCACCTTTTGCACCTGGGAGTTGCCGCCTATCGTTTGGACGGTGACAATGTACGCTTCGGCCTCAACAAAGATCTTGGTTTCTCCGAGAAAGACCGTAATGAGAACATCCGTCGCATCGCTGAGGTATGGTCATTTACTCAACCCTTTGGGCTTGATCTTCCGTCCCAAGTACGACCACCGTCAGAGAGTACGCGACTAATGCCGCAGCAGGTCGCTAAGCTGTTTGCCGATTCTTCGACCATTGCCATTACCTCCTTCATCTCGCCGTACCGTGCAGACCGTCAAGTAGCTCGCGAGCTGCACAGCCAGACTGGCCAGAGCAGCGACGAAGCCATTCCATTCATCGAAGTCTTTGTCGATGTGCCTCTCGAGGTCGCTGAGCAGCGTGACCCCAAGGGTCTGTACAAGAAGGCTCGGGCGGGAGAGATCAAGGATTTCACCGGCATCTCAGCCCCTTACGAGGCACCCGAGAAGCCCGAAATTGTTATCAGGACCGACAAGTCGAGCGTCGAGGAATGTGTGGCACAAATTGCCGAGTGGCTGATCAAGGAGGGTCTCATCACTGCGAGTAAAACGGCCTGATGTGTATGGTCCTACAATTGCATGGGCGGCCGGTTCTCATCTTGTTTGAACTAGGAGTTACCTACTAGCTACAGCCCAGAGCTTTCTAACCACGGTCTAATGCCCCTCAAAAAAATACTACGCGTTTTCGGTGCAAGGTCGCGTCTGAAGCGCGGGACTGCATGCGCCCGCCATGCTGCGATTGTGTAGGTCTACGCAACTAAGAGTAGTCAAACTCGTAGTAAACGTAAGCTGTATACTCGTGTCCCTCGCCTCCGCCGAGACCAACAGCAGCCATCTCGGACGACAGTGCTGCGTCGTCTTTGGTAATTTTCCCGCGCTTGTCTCTGCCAAAGGCATTGCCTCCTAGATACGAGTAATTAGAGTCAAGCGCTGTCTTGACCTTCTTGACCAGCTTCGAATTCGTCTGTCCGCCACGTTAGCATCGTAAGCAATGACTTGAGCGAGAGAGATGTGTGCTAACCTTGACAAGAACACTGACATAGTCGAGCGGGAGTCCGTAGCGGAGAACAGCCTCGACAAACACGCGCAGTGCGAGCACATGCAGCCAGATCATGACGCTTTCGCTCCAGCCTGTCCGGCCGATTCTCAGAGCCTCTCCCCATGTCTTCTTCTCTTCACGAGCCACCCGGTCAAGCTCACGTTGCTCTTCCTCCTTTCCGCCCTCCACGTACTTGTATTGACGCGGAGTCCATTTTTGCTCGCGACATTTCGCAAGGAACTCTGCACTGTGTTTTTTGAATGACGTAGCGGCGTACAAGGTGAACTCTTCGTCCGTCGCGACCTGCACAGCAGATCGGGGAACCACCATCGGTGCCAGTGTTTCGTAACTCTTCAAGAAGTCCTTCTTTGCATTGTTCGGCACAACAATAAGATGTGTCTCTAGGTATTCCGAGTCCTGGATGAGGAGGGCGGGATCGACGACGGGAGTGAGGGACTTTGTCGCAAGGTTGCCACTGTAATACCGCTGTCAGCTATCAAGTCGTCGTTGGGCTAGGAAAAACGATGGGCCTTGGAAACAATACGTACGTCTGCTTGCGCTGGAGAGTGGCAAAGTTTGTCTTGACTGAGTTATACTGGTTGAATTTACTCTTCACATCGTTGTCGGTAGTGACGAGTTCCTGGCGCTTCATTAGTTTCCTGCGGGCCTACTCTATGGATGGCGACCCCGATCCGCGTCGAAAGCGAAACGGATGCAGCAAAGGAAAATCCCGCCGCGAAGCTGTTGGTTCCAGTACGCCCTCTCACTCCACGTACCTTTTGCAGTGTATCGACGAGTTCGCTCAAAGGTTTGTCGGCGCGGTATCGGACCTTGTTCCAGGAAAACGAGTTGACGTACTGGTCGGTGGGCTCTGAGGTACGACCGCCGTCAGTAATATGTACAAGAGATTTGTGGAACAGGCAGCAGCAACGAGGCGGTGCCCTAGACATCTCTCACTATCGTTGACCATCTTCTGCTGGGAGATCTTGTCCTCATCACCATCGAGGATTGACTTCAATGAGTCGGCAACCTTCGCAACGACAGCCTGGCAGGTGGACTCGAGCTTGGCAAGGTCATCGGCTTGCTGGACCAAGGCATCCAGGGTGCCGATTTTGAAATCGGGGATGTTGAAGGGGCGAACACTACCATTCTCGGGCGAAATGGTAGCGCTTAACGAGGATAGGGCATCGTCTTTATCTCCAGAGTCGAAGATGCCGAGAGGCAGTGAGACGAGGGCGTATTTGGTAGACATGCTTCTTGGACTGGATCGGACGCCGGCTAGCTATCCATGCGGCTATGTCAGAGCCTCGGAAGGTCTAGGAGAGTAAGGTGAGGTAAGGTTACGGTAAGTGAAGTCGAGAGAGCTATCGAAAGGTAGGCGGAGTTAGTTGGGCGTCGGTCGATGCAATTGAGAGAAGATGAGAGGTTGTCACTGACCTGGAGGCTGGGGTTTTGAGCAACACCCGCTAGTAAGCAATGACTTTGCGAACTCCAGTCAAGAAATCGCACATGAGTAGGTAGCTGAGATGGTGTCAATCGAGGGCCGGAGCGGATTGAAATGCAGCAGTGCCCAGTAGTACGGAGTAGAGGAGATAGAGGTTACCTTAGGTGCTAAGCTGAGGCCAGCCTACGGGCCTGCTCCATGTAGCCCCCTACCTGCGCAACGGTGAATCGCGAACGAGGTACTTACAACTTTGCCAGTGTTCAAGTACAGATTTGGTGTACAAAGGTGGAAGAGGTACGTGGATATGGCATCAGCGGTTAGGTACCTGGAAAGCGGGCGACCTAGCGGGGCGCAGTAGCCGGTTACCTCAAAGCTGTGTGGTGGTTCGTCATTCACTCGGCGATAGCCTGAGAGGTAGCCAGCGGGTCTGCTGCCATCTAATAAGGTGCCAGCCCACTCCGTAAGACCTTCCTGCTATACATGGAAAGCTGCTAAGATCAAGCTTGATCTCTCCACTCGACATCCCAATGCTGTCCAACGCTGCTCACGCCATACCTCCCCAACTTCGACAGCCACTACGCATTTGCAAAGCGTAAGATTTGTCCAGATATCGCTCCGCGGGTCTTGGTTTATTCCCTATCTTTCCTTTCAGTATTTCGCCCATCGCGAATGCGCATCGCCAGATTTCGCTGTCGCTATTTCATTGTATAGTTCCAAACGATCGAGGGTTTTCGCTTTGCTACAATCTAAGTCGTTACCTTGGCCGAATCTAACAACGATGACGACCAGCTGGCGTCGTTGCATTATCAAAAAGAGAAGCTGACTCGGCAAGTCATCACATGCTGTCGAGTCGCCTTGGTGATCCATCCGGGGTTTCGTGATGCCCTCTTGCATTCGCGGGTTTTAGCATACGTATTTTTTGCCATCCGGATTAAGGACCTAGCAACAGTCCTCGCCGGGGCAGAAACCTCGAAAGGCACCGCTGTGCTCCAATCTTTCTTGGAGGGACGATGCTGAATTTGTGACGCGACTGTCATCCACAGCCATGGCTACAACCGCAAGTAAGTAAAAAGCACAATGCACTTTGTTTTTTGCGCCCCGACTAATCGTCTTCTGCAAAGTATCTACTCAACCTTCAAACCCTGCGCGACGACCTACACCGCTTGCTGATGCCTCTATCGCTACCGCTACCGGCACTGGCACTGGCACCGCTGTTGGCACTGGTACCGATAGTAGCGCTCGCAACGGTTCTACAGTACAAACCCCTGTACTGAGCGTTACGAGTGAAGGAGGTTTGTAGGCTATTCTTATGTCTTTAATGCTACTGCTCGTTGAATGGCCAGGCAGGAACACTGAAAAGGCGTTGCTGACTTTCGAGCTGTAGGTGCGGCGAATGGATTCGGTGTCTTGCAACACACTGGCCCCCCAGTACAGGATGATATTCCGGGCCTATATAGAGATGGACGTGTACGTAACCCTGTGCCTAGTAAGCTGAAGGGCAAAACCGACGCGACGAAAGGGAACTTCGGAGTTATGCACATAGACCTCACTACTACCAACGAAAGTCGGGAGCGTGATGCAGCAGCCAAACGCACGAGTGAGGGAACGCAGCTTGCGGCCAGACTGGCCCAGACAGACCGTTACATTCCCATCAGACGGAGCAAATTTATCTATCGACCAGAAGTCCATGCCTCGAACAGTCCACCGCAGCTCAACGCACCGCATCCCAGCGCACCGCAGCCGAACGCACCGCAGCCGAACGCACCGCAGCTGAACGCACCGCAACTCAACAAACCGCAGCAAAACGCATCGGGACTCGATAAACCGCAACTGAATAAACCGCAACCTAGTACACCGCAGCTCAATACACCGCAGCTCAATGCTCCGCAGCCAACACCGCTACTCAATAAACCGTGGCCCCCTGAAACGCCGCTCACCACACCGCAACGGAATGCCCCCCAGCTCAACCGACCCCAGCTGAACACGCCATATATTCGGGAGACTGTTGGAGACACGGCGCAGGTGCGGAGGAGGGCCTCGACACTTACGACTGTGGAGACAATAGCCGAACAAGCTCGACTCTTGACTCTGTTGCGAAGCCTAGACCCTGATCTGGTTGTTGATCAGCTTTGCAAGGGTCTGAAATTCTTTGGAGGGATTACCAATGAGCGCACATCACCCGGCGCATCTTTTCCCATCAGCGCTGAGGCGAATGGTTCTGGATCCCTCTTTGTTGGCTGGCTGGCAGAGATCTTTCCAGCTCTAGACCAAGGGGTAATGTCGAGCGCACACCAAACGAAGCTGAGACGACCACGTGGTCGTCCTAAAGGAAGTAGGAATGCGAAGGGAAAACGAGCTGGCCATAGTGGGCAACGACTCGTTTCAGGAGCTCATGCAGCAGAAGCAACAACGGACAACAGTGCAGGTGATGACGCGGTGGATGCTAGTTGGGTTGACATTGATGACACCATTGCAGATACTGACAGAGAGCGTTTGCAAGTGGACGCCGAGCGGGTGGTCGAAACTCCAGCTTTCAGTCAGGTAGTCTCCGGTCCAGGTGCTTCCGGTGGAATGCCGGAATCTGGCTCCGCCCAGACCTCGACAACTACGCCTGCCCCCAAGCGGAGAGGGAGACCTAAAGGCTCGAAAAATCGACCGAAAGATACGGTGCCCTCGGCCAACGATGCTCATGAGGATACGAATGGTGTATCCGGGACCCCAGTGATGATTCAGCCAACAGCAGTTAACCCTCCCGAATCCTCAAGCACGACTGGGGGTCTTGACGAGCTCGGATCGCCGCTTGTCAAGAAGCGGAAAGGAGGCCCTGGCCGTCCTAAGGGATCCAAGAATCGACCGAAAGGATCAGCAAATGTCCACGGCTCTCAATCTCAACAAACACCACCTAAATCGGATGCAAACGACCAACGAAGCGGGCCACAACCTGCCGCTGCGGGTGATTTAGCTCTGCCGGCGCCTGCTGGTGGTTCCACATCCTCTACCCGAGAACAACAATACGAGCAGCGACCGGCCATTCCGGTAAATGTTGCTTCTCAGTTCGGACCGGAGACTGTCAGCGAATCCGCTGCCATGAAGCAACAAGTCAGCAAAACCTCCAGAGTCGCAAAGCGCAAACGGAAGGCTTCTCAAGAAGACAGAGACAGTAATGCCGGCAACGAGTCGCTAACAGATGCCTCGACTTCAGATCCAAATAATGTTAGATTTACTGCAATCACCAGTGAGAGCCCTTCGTCACCGCAGATGGCCCGGTCTCAAGGACTACAAGTGCAGGATCACACTCATGGCCATCAGCCAGTGACCAAGAGGCAGAAATTACCGAATCATCAGCGCCAAGATGCTGCCTCAAACAGTGGAATGACGCAAGCTAGCCAGAACAGTCAGACTGGACAAGGTGGGCAGCGCGTGCCACAATTGCTAGAGCCAACGCAGACAGACCTTCACAATAGCAGCCTCACAGATGCCAATAATAATAATCTTCAGAAGCCGAGGAACCAGATGGGCGGCTCGGCAAACCGACCATCGCTCCAGCAAGCCCTCAACGCGCAGCAACCTCAGTCTGATCTACGACTTCAATACAGCCAAAGCCTCATAGCTTCATCCGCTGGCCAAGGAGTTGAAAGGACTGAGGTAGCGGAATCCTACTCCTTGAATATGCCATCAAGGCAAGCCATGTACAATCAAGGTGGATCGGCTCAGGGGCAACAGCAACAACATCTCTTTCATCAGCAAGAGCAACATCAGCCAACTACACAGAACCGATCTAATGACAGTCAGCACCGCCTAAGCAGCTCGGGTCCCGGCCGGATTCCGTCATCATTAGGGCAGAATGGGGACAGCTATACAGAGTCGACAAGTGACGGAAACTATCAGGGGCTGGTGGGCCTTCAGCACCCTACGTACGGCACCCACATGACCGGATCATCGAGCACGCGAGGAGATAGCTACCGGACTTCGACCTCACGGCCGATACAACAGCAATCATCTACATTCCATGCACGGCAGGAACACTCAGTACAGAATACGGGCATGTCGTCTTTCCAGGACTATTCCGATTCGACATTTCTGGCAAGTCTGACAACGGCTAATCAAGCAAGCTTGGCGATGAATTCCACACAATACAATGTCAATGGTGCAGAGATGCAGCGTGCATCGCCGAACATGAACTCAACGTATGGCTCGTCGCACTTGAGCCAGTCGTCTTTTGATGGCGGCATGACAGAATCTGCAATGAGAGAACGCATGTATCATACTTCGAGACGTCAGTAAATAAAGACGTAGATGTAACAAGCGCCCACTTACTGCACCGCCTGTAGGTACACTGTGCGACTGGCACCTTGCTCCGACTGGTGTCAAGGGCTCAAAACATATTCCTGACCCCCTGACTACGCAGTTGCGCCATGGAAGAGTTAGGCCAAGTAGGCGGGTGGCCGTCTCAGCTGTGATTCCGAGCATCCTCTACTGAGGATACCCAGCCACGTCGGCGTACCTCGGTCAAGATCCAGTATGTGATAGTCGGTCATCAGTGACAGGCCTATGCGTGGAAAGAGCACGTTGCTGAACGCGTGAATTGTTTGACCTAACTGGGCAAACAGATGCCCAACCGGTCCTGGCTATAACAAGACTACAAAGCTAAATGGAAAACTGTTTGATGTTGGTATCTTTATCCAGATCCCAGGTATTGCACCCCTCTCCATGCTGGTCCTGACAAAGAGAAGGTGAAAAAAAAAGAAGCAAGATATCCAAAGACAAGTCTCCGCTTGAGTTGCCCTGGGCCAAATTCCAGGCCTACCTTAACGCCCTTAAATGCTCAACGCCACGCTGGTTCTCATGCGCCGTCCATAGCATCTTCGTCTATCGCTTCGAGCGGAGGACGAATGGATTCTGGTGTACTTCGTCCGTACCACCACTCATCCTCCTCGTCAACGCCATCATCGCGAATTAATTCCAACATTACTTGTGCATTGCGTTTGATATCCTGGGTACGCTCAACGATGCCCCGCTCCAATATCAAAGCTTCCGCAGTTTTGAGCCAGATTTCTTGCAAGCTAGGGAGGTCAGCCAGTACGTGTCGGACATGCTCACGCTCCAGCGGTCCCATGGGCATGCCGGCTGCTAGACTTGTGTTGAATACCAAGTTCGTATCGGGATCGACTGGATCATCTAGAGAAGCCCGAGAGGCACGGCGCGTTGATATTCCGTCGTGTTGTGTCGACTTGGTTGAATCTTTGACCGAAATCGAGGACTTCTTTCGGCCCATGCCCATGATACCCCGTCGCTGTTTCGGGGTAGAGTCGATCGAGTCCTTCGAGACACCATTGTACCAAACATCAACGGCTCCCCGCCTGCTGTTATAGCCCTTGATCTCCCAAAGCCTTTCCACTTGTCGCAAGCCTCCAACACATAGAATGGCAACGTGAACCTCATCTGGAGGTCTTTCCTTCAAGTAGCCTCGCAATGATCGTTCAACGCGGCCAGCATAAGATGGCGGGCGTAGCCGTCGGCAGAATGACGAGATGACCAGAGGGAAGACTTGATGGACTCGCAAAAGCGTCTGGTCGTCGTACATGCTTATTATTCGAGCCTCGATCGGATTCAGTGTATATGGCTCGTGCAGTAAGCCATGACCGTTGTGGTCGAGTATGTGCTGTAAGTGCAGCTTTCGATAGGTTTCGAAAAAATGGAATAAGGTGAAAAGAAGCGGTATCAAGCGACGACGCATACGTTCATGCTGAGGGGCGAACTCGAGACGCTGCGATTCCGTCGTTCGTAGGAAGATCTCTTTAGTGATCCATTCGCACATAAGGTATGACAATTTGGCGGCGACGTGCAAACGATGCCACAAACCGCACAGGTGATGAAAATTGGCGGCAGTGGGGTCGTTAGATGGATAAAGACGCAAGGCGTATGCCGGGATGTGATGTTCTAGATGATAGCGAACGATGGGTGCCTCATTTAATGTCACGATAGTGTGCCAGGATCTCGAGACTCTGCGAAGATTTAGGACGTCCGTCAATGGCAGCGATGAAATGACTTGAATCTGAAGCTCAGTAGGTAGAGCTAGGAACAATTGACCGAGAGATTGACTGGTGATTTGTTAGAATTGGTAGACACAATCGTACGTTGGCTCTAGGGGAGGGTGGCTAACGTCTTTGGCTTCGCGAACGCTGTATACTGTTCGCGATGGTCTACCTGCGATGTTGACTTGTTTTGGAGGATAGAGACCTTGGATCGCAGGCTGAAGAGTCGGCTCTTCTCGGTACGCTTCTGGTCTGAGGGTCGGGGAGTCTCGGTATTGCCTTCATTTGACTTGTAGGTTCGTAACGGCAGAATAAAGGTAGAGGTAGACTGAGATGATATCGGCGGAGAGGGATACTGTTGAGAGGATGGCGTCTGAGGATGGCGTAATTGGTGAAGCTGCTGGGTATCGCGGGTCGCAGGGGACTCATTGAGCTGATTGAGTTTGCTGAAGTACCGCTCGGAAGCGAACTCGGTGATATGCGGCGGATCCATGTTGATGCTATCGCGCTGGACAATGGCTCAGCCTGAAGTAAGAGAAAACGAGGTCTAGGAAGTCCAGCATATGGTCGAGGTACGCTGTGTTGAAAACGGGAGGGTTAACGACGGGCGGGGATCGGAAAGTCGAAGATGCCGTGCATTCGCGGCTCAAACATGGCTGAACATTGAAGATATCGGTGATGGTTCGCAGGCGAGAAGAATCGTAGGGGGTGATTTGAACGAACAGGCTGGCACCCGGCGTCGATTGGGATACAGTCGTCGAAAGGGCAGGCTTCGAGAGTCGACGGGCGAAAGGTGACGATCAACGACAATGGCTATGTAGGGTATCGATATTGGACGGCCGATGAGATGGACCGAAGAGGGTCAAACCGGAGCAAGAGACGAGGAAAGATGGCGAATGAGCGTATGTGACAAAGCTGAGTCGGATAAGGAGATGACAGGCGACCGATAGTGTTGTAGAGTGGCAGAACGTGGTGGTGACGTTTCGAACGTGATGGTCGACGTTGGTTGGAATATGAGGATGCGAGGAAGAAATGGAGGAGGAAGAGGGAGGGGGCACAGGCAGAGCGCGAGGGTGTTGGAGAGGCCCGCCGAAGTCAGGTAACTCACTCTCGCTGGCAGGCAGCACGTTCGGTACTGGTAGTGGGAGAAAGGCGGTGGTGGTGCAGTCAGGCTCAGGTTCCAAGGATCCTGGGTGGGTGGATGAGAGGGGGTAAAAGCGTAGAAGCTCTCTATGGGCGACGACGTGGGTATGCACGTAGCTATCCGTTTGGTGGTATGGTATCCAAGCCTGGATAACTTGGTAGACACTGGCGGTCACCTCAGTCTATGGGCGCAAACGTGGGTGAGGTGATGATGAGGTTAGGTAGGTATTACGGTGCGGTACGAATAGAGAAGAGGCAATGAGAGCAAGTGGGTGGACCTGGAGGCCAGGAACAGGAGAGAGGCAGATGCAAGAAAGCGAGAGAGGGATCGGCTGTTCGCTAATTCTGGGTGGCCCGGCGGTATGTGCGGCGAATTAGTGGAGGTCCAAGTGAGGAAGGGCACCTGCTGGCCTAGGGGGGGGGGGGTCGATGATCCCGAAGCGGCGTTTGGCACTGTGATGCAACGTCGCTGACTGGCTGCGTCCTCGGAGAGGGAATGGCCGGAGAAGGGTCTTTTAGGGGGGGGGGGGGGCTTCACTCAACCTAACTAAGGTACCTATCAATTGTGGGTATGTTACCGTGTATCTATTTCTTCACCACCACAGTACGATGGGCGTGGACGGCGGAAGCGAAAGAAAGCGGCCGAAGAAAGCACCGTAAAAGTGCGCGGCCGAAGCTTCTCATCCCCACAGTCCTGAGCCTGGCAAGCCGTAAGGGAAGTGAAAGTCGCATTGGATACTTTTTAACGAGTGGTTGAGTTCCATTGCTCTACGGAGCGGATGGTGGTCAGTTGGTACCTTAGTGAGCATACCTACTGTGAGTGTGGCCTTGAGGTTCCCTCTTTCTTTCTTTCTTTCTTTCTTTCTTCCCGCTTCTTGTTCCTTTATTAATCAACAATTGGGTCTTGATCTTGACTCTATCCGTAAAATGTCTCTTCGTCCATTTCGCCATCAGGTATCCGTATGGAGGCCAGGTATGGAGGATTGAGGTACTCTAACCATTTGACTCGAGCGTCAACTGCAATTGCGACTAATCAGGTGTTTCCATCGGCGAGATACCTTACCTTACCTAGGTACGTACAAATTCAGATCAGATACCTGATTGTCCATTCGTTGGTATCTTCTTATTTCGCAGTTCAACAGTCGACTTTCATTCCTCGGCTGTTTTACGGACTCTATGGCGCTTCCCCGTCTCCATTTCCTATCCAGTGCCATTGTAAGACTCGAGAGTTAGATGTCGATCCCGGGGCTCGGGGGATTGAGGGTGAGCCCGCCCGATGCCGCTCCAATTTATTGGCCGTATGCCATGCTTTTTTTGCCTTCAACTACACGCGATGAAGCAGCTTGGTAGTTTGGCTGTGGACACACTGCGTAGGCACTTCTAGGCCATCGTCCCGCGTCAAGTGGGCGATGGCCCATGGCTACCTTTGGTTCAGCGGGCGCAAAGAAGTATCCCTAGACAGTATGCACCGATGAAGTACCGACCACGTTCGTGCAAACGATCTAGGAGAGAAGCCCGGCATAGATCGAGACGGAGCTCCTACGGCTAGATGCTCTCGCTCTGTTTCCATTGGCTCATTTGTGTTGCAAAGCCCGATTCGATGCTATCGCGGATAGATGCTTCACCTGTCCAAAGTTACTGCTGATGGATCATGGTCTCAGCCGCCCTAGAGCTACTTAGACCGACTTCGATGATCCAGGACCGATTACCAAATAGGCCCGAGACAGTCCCATGCCTGACGCTTCAACGGAGACACGTCTATCGGCACTACTCCGTAGGTAGACCAGACAGTGGCAGTCTGGAAACATTTCTCTATCGGCGGATCTATCAATCGCATAGCGTGCTAGAACGTAGTGTGAACCAGACGATGTTCATGTTGAGCATGTTGGTACTGACATCTACCTATTCCATCGATCATGACTCACGTTTTATTTCATTCTCGCAGTGTTAAAATTTACAGCCGGCAGGAATGAGAAGGCCAGCGGGCTGCGGGCATCGCCGACACTGCCGATCTACTGTACAGGCTCATTGATTTTCTCGCCTTCGCTATTTGCACACGGTTGGCTTGGCTTCACAGGGCGCCACAAAGCAAGCAGTGAATCACATCGGGGTACAGAGCATGGACCGCCCACAGAAACTTGCCATACGAGTGGATTCGTCCAGGTAAGAAAGGTGTCGAAGGTACAAACCTACCCAAGGAATCTTGCAACTGTACGTCGTGAGCGCACCTTTTGCATCACTTGAGTTTTTGCCCATTCTCCCATTCCCTCGAGGGCTGAGTATCCTAAAAGCATGTACGCATGTAAGAGAAAGAAGATCAAAACTCAACAGTGTTCCACACTGCATCTACAATTCCATACTGCGTAGTTCCTGGCACCTCACCGGCATATTCACAGTGCACACTAAACCTTGGATGGCAAATAGAGATGGACCTTGGCACCCCTCGACCCTCGTGAGCTTAGTGTACTTCGTGCGAAGCCGACATCTACCAGTGCCAACTTGAGCGTGGCCCATGGCGTCAAATGGAACACGGTAGATTGGCCCGAAGTGACCGAAGTTGAAGCGATGGAACCGACACAAGTGGCTAGGCGCTGTCTCGGATGGACAAGCTGCCTTCGATGCAGCGGGGGACGGAGACATTGGGGTGTACAAATACCGGGGGAGTAAAGTAAACCGTAAATGCTACGGTGCCACGGTACCAGTTCGACCTCTTGTCAGACTGGGCCCAATCATGAGCACTGCAAGTCACTCAAGAGTGAGCACTGAGGTACGCGCCTGGCGTGGTGGAGCGGCCCTCGGACCTACCGCGGCCTTTCTGTTTTCTTAGGCTCTTAGTCTTCGGCCTTGCCTCCCCTCCGCATTCGTCACAGCTGATATCTCCCCCCAAAGGCCCCAGCCTTTCACGTCGTTTTCCGGCCGCCTGGCCGCCGTTGGTGGATTGCTTTACCTTTGAGTACCGTTATCCATGATCCGCTCCGCTCTACTTCCCTTGCGTGAGAGAGAGAGAGAGAGAGAGAGAGAGAGAGAGAGAGAGAGAGTGTGTGTGTGTAAGTGTGTGTGGCTACCTTAATGAGTAACGTTTTACCGGCTCCCTGGCATACTCCGTCCTGAAGCAAAAAGAGATGGACGTTCTAGCACTTAACAACGTTCTTCCGGTTGGTCATTCATCAGGTCACGAGCGCTACGGAATACTGGATGAGGAAGGCACCTCGCTCCACTTTTGGTACTGCATCATCCGTATATTACCCTACAGATACGGGACTGTATCCGTACATCTACTTACGTTTGTGAGTCTTCTCTCCGTGTTCCCGAGCCAATCTCAAGGGTAAGAACTTCCTATCCGCACCTCTTTGTGTAAGCCTCGCAGAAATTGAGCGACATAACCCGCACGCTCGCGAGAAGAGAACCCGTAACTTGAGTGCGTCTGGTGGTGGCGAGCCATCATCATTTGCGTTTGTGAGATGAAGACTTGAATCCCGTCATGTTGGTCGACCATGAAGCCATATTTCTTGGCCAGGCCAGCCCCCCAGTATCCGTACACTAGCGGGCAATGGCATCGACATCGGCCGAGAATGCCCCGTGGATATGTGGGATTCTCCCCGCCCGAGGTCACAGGTTGCAACTCCCCTCTCAAACTTCTCCAGCTTTACCGAAAAATTTACACAATGTTTGTACCTCCAGACCCATTCCCTCCATATTACTCCGCGTTTCCTCCGCTCTCTGAGCTGCTCCAGAGCCCAGGGTCAGGAGCCAGGACAGACTACTACTCCGTGGCGGGTTTGTGTCACCCTTTGACAGCCACACGCGACTCAGCCACACGGCCCTGAAGGCCAACCGTACCATTCGAGTGACAATACATGCTGTTCACTTTGGTAGCTGATGTGGGAGACAGAGGCCCCTTCGTAATTTTCTGTCTCCCCCGTATCTCTCTTATTCACTATTGCCTTGACAATGAAAGGGACCTTGGGATGCCGCGATACGCCCGAATGCCCTAGGCACGTATACGGCCCTGCTTCAACGTTGATTCACGATTCGTTTCCCGCCATGACACCTACACTGTAGTTGAAGGCCGCTCGATTGTATACTCGGAAAATAAGTGATGCTCCATATGTATCCTCGCAAGTAATAAGAAAATCCTCTTGGGCGCGCGTGGCGTCAATCTCCTCAGCCACAACGGCCCGAACCTGATCGAATTCCATCCATCTCTATCTCCGTTTCCGCATCCCATTCGTCGCCAAGTCCGGGTACTTCCTCCTTTAAACTCATCTTAATCATTGGTTGGTGCCGATTTATCTACACCAGTGCGAAACACCTCATTCTTCTCTTCCGTCTCGAATCATTTGTCTTTGCCGGAGACAAGACTTCACTGTCGGTGAATCACCTACCTAGAACCCATACCACGGCTCAATCGCTGCAAATAATTGTCACGGTAGACTCGGTCGGGTTGTTTCCACTGGCCGGGAATACGTTCTGCTTTTCCTGTCCGGTGCTGACGGGGAAAGTACGCTATGCATGGGTAGTTTGAGTCTTTAACACGCCTCGGTACTTGAGCAGGCCGCAAAACGCCCGGCCCCGCACCGCGTCGTGTCCGCAAAACCCACCTCACACCGGACCACAATAGGGTCAGGACCGGAAGGAGACGAAGAGATGGAAACGCCGGGTAGTTCTCGGGCTTCATCGCCACCTCGAGTGGCGTCGATGGGAGTGCATATTCCCGGACCGACAACAAGCACCAATCCCGACGCTGCCGCCAACACTGCGCCCTTTGCCCTTGCCCGGTTCGAGTTCGAGGCAGGCAAGGGTAATGAGGGCACCAAAGTCTTGATGGTAGAATGGGATCCCTCGATATCTCCTTCTTCCTCCTCGCCGGCATCCGAACTCTCACCACCGCCAGCCAAGGCATGGGAGGTTTCGTGGGATGGCAAGACAAACCATCTTCTAGCAAGTAACGATGTCAAAGGAACGCATAAACGGGCGTACTTCCTACTTCCACCAGGTGCCAATGTTCCTCCCACCGTTTCCATTGTTCATCCTGACGGTACATCCCTCACCATCAAACCCCTTCCTGCCATCTTCCCGCCAAGCCTGGTTGCCAGTGAATTAGATACTGGAACACGCGGGGTTCTTCACACCATCTGGGCCAAGGAGAGACTTCGTGAACTTCAAGAAGAGATCGATGCCGAGAAGATGACAAATACCGAAAGCGTCGGCTTAGAAATGGTGCTCCAGGAGCAGCAATGGGTTGTCGATCACTTCGGTATTGTTCCAAAACCCAACAACATCGTCGAAGGCCGGACGATGTCTGCCTCAGAAACTCTACTGAGTCCCATCTCTCCTCAACCCCTGACCGGTAGCCGACTGGGAGAGAAGCTGAAGGGGCTGAAGCTCGCGACTTCTGCAACAGATTTAATTGCTGGTTCGGCTGGTGAGATGACTCACAAAATATAACCTGCGTAACATATCAACCAAGCATAACTAACTAGAGACTCGCAGACAAGAACACGCATCTTCAGCCGGTGTCTTTCTCGCCCGTCCCCAATGACATAGCCGTTCACTCCTTCTCGCACCCTGCTCGGGAGACGACTACTGGTAACCTGTCCCTAGGAGCTTCGGCATCGTTAGACGCCATGCTCGCAGGGGTTGATCTTCATCCGAGACAGCAAGAACAGGACCAGGAGGAGGAACTTTTTGCACTCCCGATGAGCCCTCGCAGTCCTGAGATGAAAAAGAGTCCCTTCAGCTTCGCCTGAAGATAGTGATCGCTTCTGGGCCAACATCATTTCCACTCTCAACGACTTTGAGTACGATCCCAGTCAGGGGGTTTGTGATGTCCCCTGGAGGTATGTCGTGTGTGTGTGTGTGTGTGTGTGTGTGTGTGTGTGAAACTGGGGAACGACAGTAGTAGCTGAAGGTGTGTAGCATACATTCGTAGACGGGCTACAGAACGACACAGACAGGAATTATATGCTTCACGTCATAGCGATTTTCTAGCCATTTCTGCGAGTACCATTCAGTTTGTAGGCTACTGCTCCTGCGTACTTTCTTTCCTTCTTGTATTCCATAGAATGTTTCTTTCAGATATCTGCTAGCTAGACGTGGTCCTTTGCATTGCGTTGTCATCGCCAATACCGCCATCGAGAAGCAAGAGTAGAAAACAGCAGAGAGAACCGCCGGCATGCCATTGATGTAGTGCTCGTGTGCTGGTTCCCGTTTCTCGATACAGCCGAATGGTTAGCTCCAACCCGCGAGGATCACCACCTCCTGCGATTTCCACTGCCTCATTCCTTTCCCACCTTCACTTAGCATTCCACTGAACCAGGTACTGGAATCGCACTCATTTATCTCCAGCCACCAACGCGACCTTCGTCCCACCGCTCCTTCCTCTCCTGACGAAGATAATAAAGTACCTTGGCGTCTCTGTACCTCTTGATCCAGTCCAATGTCTCTCTCTCCGACGCATACGCGCCATCTCCCTCTCCGTCGATGAAGCTCTCCTCCAAGACATGGCATACCGAGGCCTGCTCATGGACACCTTGCCCCAGGCGTTGGTACATGGCAGCCGGTGAGAAGGGTGCTAACGCGTGGTCCATATCGGATTGCTTCTGCCGCCACTGGCGCTCGAGCGCATGTGTTGAAAGAAGCTGCGCTTGAGTCGTGGAGCGCTGGTGGGCTAGACGAGCCTCGAGTTCCACAAGCCGTGACGCGAGCTCAAGGTTTTCGGTCAAGGCCGCTTGAAGGGCCTGATGAGACGACGAGAGAGATGGGTGAATCGTACTTGGTGCATGTGCAAGGGCATTAAGCAGGTCCACATTGGTCGCTATATCAGCGAGGTCATGTTTTCTAATACCATCATCAGCCGGGAGAAAGACAACGAACAGCAGGTGATGCCGCTGCCATGTTCAGGAACGTACGCCTTGTCTTGCAACACCTTGGGAAGCCAATGTTCGCCCGGATCAGGCACAGACTCAGGTCGGGCTATTTCGAGCCCGGCCGGCTGAGAGACTTGGTTCAAACGGCTCCCACCTGCACTCTCCACATCAGGCCCGGTGCCGTTACCGTTGCCGTGCCGGGGCGAGTTGAGCATGACCGGCGTGCCTATACGACTTGTGTCGTGGCTACCCGGCTTGGGTGGGAGTACCGGTGGTGGAGGATCATGCATGATGTGGACATAAACACGCAGCCGATTAAAGACTACAACAAGATGATCCTTATTGTCAAGGCCCAGGAAAATCTTCAGGCCAATGACTCGCTTGGTCGGCTGATCAAAGTATAAGGCAAGGTATCTTCCGACTACAGAGATGTCAGCGTTCGTTGGGCGGGGTGGTTCTACAAGACGGAATGTGGCTGTGGTTCATCAGGCAGAGGGGTGCGAGGTTCACAACGTTAAGCAAGGACCTTGTCAGGTGCCCCCACAGCGGATGAATGAAACTAACCAATCAAAACTAAACTTGTGACTGAATTGTACATGTTGTATAGTTAAGCTCACATCTGCGTTTTATGATATCATACCCATAAACACACATCTGTACGGAATACTCAATTGTAAATAGGAACTCAACACAAGAATGGCTTCAAGAGGTACGAAATACGCAGTTTTTTCAATAGACTTTTTGCTGTAATACTCTTTTATTTGTGAGTCTGCAAGTCTCGATGTAATTAATCGCCTCCCTGCATTGACCAACTTGGCAGCTGAACGACCTTGATGTGTTCGAGGCATATCACGCCCGGCCGAAGTCTTCGTGAGCGGTAAGCCACGCGCTAGCTGAATCTCATGTAGACGTAACGCATCTCTAGTAGAGGCCTCAGATCCCCATTCCTTATTCCTAACAAACATTGTGACTCGCCAGTAGACTGCCCAATTCAGTGCTTTACGGACCAAAGATCCCGTGACCATCCCATTTCCCGTAGCTTCTTGCTACTCGAATTGGCCGCCTTTTTCTCGCCCGATGCAACGGCCAGAGCTTTGCTGCAGGCAGCAAAACACTCGACCAGTTCCTTCATTCGCTTAGCTTTGGCGAAGCACTCTGCCACATCGGAGCCCTTCTCCGCAATAGTGGCCGCCAGCTCCATACACTCCAAAAAGTTATCCCTCGTCAGCGTCGTGCCGGCGAAATGGAGCGTGCTGATGTAAGCGAGGATCGTCTCGGGAAGATATGCTTCCCGCAGCGCTTGTAAGTCTTGATCCTCTGTCACGAACGGATTAGTTATCTGGAAGATGTGAGTTAAGTAGCACACATTACCTTGATTACCCAGCCAGTCAACCAGTAGCGGTCGCACGTGTTCTTTGGCCGCCTTGACCTCGTTGCCAACCTTCGCCCAGAAATCTCGTTTGACAGACGGGTCCCTGCAAGTGGTTAGCAAGATGTTGTAGCCAAAGGTCAGGTTGACATACTCTCTTGACAGTTCCGCTAGGGAAGCGACAGTCTCCATTGTGTCCAAGGCTCTGACGAGACACTCAAGTTCGCGTAAGACCTTGGCGTCCGATACTACTTGACTTGGCGAGAGGTCCATCGCACCCGCGCCTTCGAGCTGGTTGACCCAGAATTCTCCATCTTGTGTCCACCAGAGTTCGTCTTCTGCTTGTTCGGGGAAGTCACTTGAGCGCATGCGCAGAATGCTGTCGAATGGCACACGATTTGCGAAGCTTCTGGCAGCATTCAAATGCATGGTCTCTGTTCGATGGGGTTCCAGTTAGCTGATAGGCATCATCTATCTTGAAAAGGCAGGGTCATACTTAGAAAGTGCTTGTAAATTGCCACGCCGATAGAAAAGACATATGGCCAGGCCTCGCTGACTAGAAGCAGCCATTCTACTGACCGGATCAAGCGCTCGTCGACCGCGTCAATGGATTCGGGATCTTCCCCGAAGAAGTCTGTTTTGATGGAACGCCCGTACTTCAAGGACGCCGGGCCATCGTCCATGATCTGGAACTCCCGCATTGCATCGTTTTGCGCAGTATCGGAGTCCAAGGTCTGGAACAAGAACTGTGGTTGTGCCTTGACGAAATCCACCACGTCCAGTCCTGCTTTGTGAATGAAGGTGAGCTGCTCTTGACGAGCCTCGCTATCGGTGATGGGAAGTAGGTTTGTGCTTAACACTTGGAAGGCTCTCGATGGGTGAAGCCTGGAGCAATATAGTGGTATCAACTCCTCCAAGCCTGCTAGTCGGAGCAAGCTGATATACTGCGTAATCGTGTTCTCTTGCAATTCACGACGATCATGATCTGAGCTCATTGTTACGGTATTTGTTTTCAAAGTGCCGAGTTTGTCAAGCGTATCGAAGATGATGAGTGCATGAACAGCAATTCGCAGGCCATCGGGATTTTTGATGTCGGCGAACTTTTCCGTCACTACGTCGACGTTGCGACAGTTGTGATCGGGCATGAGCGCAGATGCCTCCTTGGAATTCGCTTTCTGTGTGATGGCCACACCCTGCTCGTAGAAATGTCGCTGGAGGTCTTTGGAGATAATGGCGGCTTGTAGTGCCTTGATAGGCTCCAGAGCTTCCTTGCTTGTGTGCGGGCTTGTCTCAAGGTTGCGGATCAGGCGTTGCTCCAACGTGGCGGCATCGCCGTGGAACTGAACTGCGTCAAAAGCAGCGAATGATGAGCGGATGGTTGCCGATGCTTCCGGGGAGCATTGGCTGAGTAGGAAAGTGTCGAACTGCGTGCGAACCAGAGCGTTGTAGTGCATGAACATGAAGTCGTCCCAAGTCTGGCATACTCTTTGCACGCTGGGGATGTCTCCGGACAACACCCCATATACTGCTCTCTCAATATCATCGGTACCTCCTTGGCGAGCAAGAGCAAAACACATGCGTCTCCACAGAGTAAGCGCTGAAGGGTCGTCGACAAGCGTGGTCTCGCCGTGGTCACTTGCAAGAGGTAAGGCGGACATGGATACAGCCCTCCAGACCTCCGTCCTCTCCAAGCACCACTCCCGCGTAGTCTCCACAGTACAGCCTCTTCGAAGCAGCTGGAAGCAGCCTACCCAAATAGCCCTCTCAAAGTACTCATCCTGTGGCTCCAACTTGCGACCCTGTCTGATCACAGAGTCTGGGTCTAGTTCGGCAACAAGTGGCGCCTTGTCTGAGTTGACTAGAGAGCGTGCGACCTCCGGAAAATGCACATCAAGCGGGCGTGAAGAACCAATCACACTCTTCTGCAACTTGATGGCAGACCTTGTGTGTATCCAACCGTGAGCGATGATGTCTCCTCTGTCAGCGTTTTGCTGGAGATCTCGTACGAGGTCGTCGATGTCGGGGCCAGCTCTCGCGCCTTGTTGTAACCATTCGAGAATGGTCTTCCTCTCTGTGGCCAACTGGTCGTTCGCAAGGAATGCCCTCCACAAATCTTTTCCATTGTACGTAGCTTCCTGGTTCGTCGAAGATCGAACAGAATATCTCAGCGGGATAAGGCGACGAACGAGATCCCATGTCTGTCTTTCTTGCTCCCATACTCGAATCTCTTCTGAATCTGCCGCAGCCTCTGCCTCTTCTTCATCGTCCAGGTCCATCTCATTGTCGCCAATTGAGCCCTGACGGCGTGGCTTGCGCAGCTGCGACAGCTTTTCGGCGGCATAATCGTGGTATGCGTTTACGAGCCCCAAGACCCTTGCGCGTTTGTCCTCATCGGTGCCTTGGTTTGCCAGGCAATCGTCGAGGATGTTCGCGAACACCTCAACTTCAGGCCCGATTCCGTCCATTTTCGGGAATGCAATCGTTGTCGAAGGGAACGGAATCTAGGGAAATA